ATGGCCTTGGGTTCTACGAATGTCCCGCGCCTTCCACGATGTTAGTAGAATAGGTTTTTGCAAAACCCTTTCTGTGCACTACCCTTCCGTTTGCCTCTGACAAAACGCTGTTATTTTAGGGTTTGGAAGGCGGGAAAGCACTGTGTTCTTTTTCTTTTCGAAGGGTACATCCCCCATTTTTGCGGAGCTATTCTCAATTTCTCCCACAATTGATCAAGGCATGAATTGTTGCTTCAACATAGTCCATGGGTCTTCTGCTACTTGTGGAGAGGGTGTCTGTTGGCGACAAAACACGGTCACAGTGAGTCGGTCTGTTTGATTTAACGACGCTTTCGGAGGACATTGGAAGAGTGTTCCGAACTGTCCAAGCCTAAAAACAAACAAACACTTCGGACAGCAAACGAGCTACCGCTGCAAGCCGCCTGCTGTCGAACCACTCTCTCTTCTTGACGAAGCTGTGAACATTTGGTGCAATGGCTGCCTCCAAGGTGCTGGCGAGGTCTCAACACTGCGGGCACCCACTAGAGTTCATCATGGGGGGCCATGGGCGTCGCCCAGTTGGAACGAAGAACGCCTCAAAACCAGAGTAACGAGGATCATCCAATGGGTGTCCTGTCTGGTGACCTATAAGCAGTGTGGGCTTGTCCAGCCAGGTAACCCCGAGCGGAAGCAGCTGGGATGCTTCATTTTGCCCGGTTGGCGTTGCAGGATGTCGCAGTTTCTTTGTTTTTTCTGCTTTTGTTTGAGGAAGGTCATCCGATTGACCCGTGTCCCGCACCCGGGTCAAATGGACCCATAGAAAATCTGCGCGACTTGCGGTCTCTGTCTGATACAGCCCATGTTAGGCAGTAAATTACACAGGACCAGGACCCCTATATATATATATATATAAGGAGATTTCCTTACATTTGAGATTAGTTTCAACACGTTCGAGAATCGGTAGTTTAACACGGCGGCCCAAATGTAGCTGCAATGGCTCAAAGGGGATATGCCATTGCATATGGGGGGAAAGGATCCGCGAAGATTGAGGTTACTCAGATGCAAGCTGCGTGAAGTTCAGTTGAAGGTTTTCTTGAAATGACTAATTGTTACACGATGTTACACGGTTTGTTTTTGGGGCCGAGGTTCTTTCAGTCATGTTGCAATGAATCAGCTCCAGCAAGCGCTTCGAGCTCTACCAGGCTATTTGCTGATGGTCTTTCGAGCTCTACAAGGCTATGTGCTGATGGTCCTTCGAGCTCTACAAGGCTATGT